ATGTTTGGAGGCAATATGGTAAGGAGGGAGGGTGGCAGGTTTTGTAGCCAGCAGCCTTATGCTTTTCAAACCTCAAATCCTCTACTTTATAGCTGCACCATCAGCAGTAGGTCACGTCACTTCTTTGACGCTCATTTTTTTCATCCTTACATGAAAATAAGTGGCACTTGAGAAAATTCTCTTATGCTTTGCCTTCCTGGAACTCTGCCCTCAGTAGCTCTCCATTCTCAATTTGCCCTTTTGTTGAGCATTCCAGAGGATTTTACATCCCTGGGTAGTGCCCCAAGAGTGATTTCAAAAGAAGGTGAGATACGCTTTTATTTTGTAAGCTAAGCAAATGCTGATTGTGAAAGATATTTAGGGAGGGTCAACTCTGAGATCTCTGGTGCTTCCTTGGGCAAATCAGGTAAACATTAGGAAAGAGTACTGAGTGACTGACCAATTGGAATGTCATTCGATGGAAACTAGCCTTTCTGTAGTCTTCCTCAGGAAGTCCTTGAATTCCCCAAGTAGCTCCAGTAAGGAGACACTAAGCTGGATGCTCTCTAAGGTGCCTCAGGGCTATGACATTATTTGCTCCTGAGAACTGACTTGAAGATACAATGCGGGATAAAAAAGGGATAGAAGACTCTTCCTAGGCTCCTAAATCTCCGGGGTGTTGCAGATGTGGATCAAGTGCTTAGGTTCAAGATATCCGTGTGTTATCACAGAATACTCTTAGGTTTGCAAATAAGTCATCCATTTTCTCAGCCAAACCTAGAAGAGAATGCAGGCATCCTAAACTGCTCACGCATGAGAGAAGAAGCAGTGCAGTAATTTCTTTGCTGCTTTTCGGGAGCAGGAAACACCAATTCCCTTGTGATTTCTACAGAGCCAACTAATCATCTAATGGTTACAGCTGCTTGAAAAAGATTCAAGGACCTTCGGTTTTGTCAACTCCAAAATTCGAATGAGTAAGACATACCTTCATATTCTCTTTTCTTTTTAGAAAAGCTTGTCCAGGAAAAGAAAAGCAATTACGTGAGAGTTAACCCAATTAACTCTTTAGAGGATGTACAGTTGGGATCTAGTGTCCTGACTAGATGTGGATTTCAATATGATCAAAAATCATAATATAAACTTGCTTCTTTTTAGCTGTTTATTCAAGAATATTTGGAGTTGACTAGACTTTAAGCTTTGGATCTTTCAGATACCTTGGAGTATGAGCTCAAGATTTTAATTGATTTCTGTGATTCTCAGTTTCCGCAACAAGGAAATAGAAAAAAATAATAGCAGCCCAGGTTCCAAGGTGGTGTTGCGGGTATTAAAAACAAAAATGCAAATGAGGGATTAAGCATACCTCCTGGCACTTAGGAACAGGTCCAAACGTTGTTGTTTTTATCCTAACTCTGAAAGGAGAAGAATTAGACTCAACATCTCAGAATATCAGGAAAAACACAAAAGAGCATTTTGTGAATCAACTAAAAATTTCTGCAGAGTCCTTTTTCCCCATCTTCTCTCTCTCTCCTCCACTCCCACTTCTTCCAGGCAGCAGTAATCTAACAGGAAAAACACTGGAGAAACTCCAACCTAACTGTGAAACACAAGCCATTAGATACACCTTAACTATTTTAGGGCTGCCGTAAAATAATTTGCTTCTGAGAATGAGATTAATTCTGCAGTGAAAGGATGCTATCCACTTCCAGCCTGACATTTATCAACATACTCATAAAGATTCTCAAACAAAGATTATATATTTTGAGATACTTCATGGATAGCAAGAAAAATGTATGTCACTGCAGTGAAATAACCCAAATAGCAGCTCCATTATTTTCAGCTTCATAAATGTAAAAATATATTTTTTAAAAGCATTTGTTGAAAATACTGATGTGTGGAATTCCTCTCATTGTGTGGTCATCTCTACATGACTTTCTGCAGATCTTAAACTTGACTGGTGAATCTACTCCTTTAGGATGAAGCCTACAATGAGACTGTCAAAGGATTAGCACCAATTCAAAATAAGTATTTGTTAAATAAAAGTAATAAATATAAATAAACTGCACATGTGATAAAATAATAAACATAGCAGTAACAGCCTTGCTATACTTTAGCACCATGACTCTATAGCAAAGTATTAAGTTGGGTGTTCAGCATAAATTATACATTAAAAATTCATCTGAACTTGAAAACTTTTGCAATTGGATCCAATCGTTTCCTTGGAATGTGTGAAGTGTTACAAATGCCGCCTAATTCTTTTTGAAGCTCGAGGCAAAGGCAAAAATGTCTTGTAACATACTGGAATGATTTGAATGATTGTACCATAAAATGGCTTGGATTTGCTCATCTGGCTTCAAGTTCAGAGGAATGACCAACCAACTGACATGTTCTCAGCAGTGTAGACTCTGAAGGGCCTGAGCAGATGTTGAAGGCTTACTCCAGGCCAATGCACGAGGTTTTTTGTGGTTTCTCTTAAGTGTTTGCTAATATCTACCACATTGCAAACTCAATGTCCCTTTTCAACTGGCCTGACTGCTCATAATATAATACAGATGATTTCATCTCTCACGGAGTCTTTTTCCTGAAGTCTGCAGGGCTCAGACTTCTTTAATAACATACATGTTTCTTTAAGAACAGGAAAATCCCTTCCCCTTAAACGTTTTGCTCCTCAGTCTTAGGTTCTATAGTACAATATCAAGTGTAATTCCTGTTTAAATAATGCCCCACTTTTCCTCCAAGGGTTCATTTGGGCTTCTGCTGTTTTATGATTTTTCTGGACAGGCTGTACTTTCCTACTAGAAGACAACGCCATCACTCAGAGGGGTCAGGAATGCTTCATTTTAAAGTAAACAGGATAGAAAGGCTCTCCTTATTCTGCGTGAGATGCAAAGTAAACGATCCGTTCACACAGACAATGAAGAAATTGTATGTTTTTATGCCCTTAGAAAGAAGAAAGAGAAGTCATGGGTAACATCCGCCCCAGTTCTGATTTCGACCTTATTCTCATTGTCTTTCACCTTTTCTCTTGTTGAACAGAATCAGTTGATTGATTCCTGTGTTTGTACCTGCTTTGTTTAAAGGCTCATTGGTAAATACCTTTAATTTAGCTTGTGATAGAGTCTTAGTCTTACTGATAATACTTTGCAAACGTTTCCTTTTAGATGATCAGAGTGATTAGGGGAAAAGGGCCACTGAAACTCTGTTTCTTTCAGCTCATACTCCTGTAAGTCTTGCTAAGTGTTAGTTATACCGATGAGTATTCCAAGATCTATCCCTCCATCTTCATGAGGTCAAGAATATACATTTAACAGGTGTCAAATTTGTCTTTTCATTTTGTTTACGGCTGCTTACAGAAGGTCTAAAGGCCGAAAAATACACCCCAGGTGCCAGATAACCCTTCATCCTACAGTAAAGCACTGGTGTTGTAGAGTAAGACCATGCCATCTGTATCAAAGCATTATTATTAGCTTTCTGAGGAACACCTTCCATTGTGCTCCCGGGCCCTGATAAAAGAGATGATGCCTGACCTTGGGGCATCCGCTGGCCACACCACCAGCAGTGTTCACCACGAGCAGAGTTGAGGCTAACCCCCTACATCATAATGTGGGCCTGGCCAGCAGTCATCTGTTGTAAGGAGAAAGGGGTGCAGCTGGAATCAGACAAGAATAGGGCCAGAAGTCACAAGTGGGGCTCACTAGCAGGTGGCCCAGACCCACACCCCCATGTTACCCACCACTCTTGTGTAAGCCCTCGCCTTCAGCTCACACCTACAGACACATGTGGGGCAGAGGAGGGAGTAAACCAAGTTTAGGTCATGAATGGGTCAGCTCAGTACAGATACAAACCACAATTGGACTGAGGTAGACTACAGCCCACTCAGGACCGGCACTGAAAGACACTGTAAGGGAAAGTCATCTCAATGGCCGGGACTTAAGGCAGCGTACCTAGACATCTACTTTGTGAGGAAAGAGAAGTAGCCCGAGGTAATGATAATATGAGCAGTAGAAAACAGCTTGGCTGGTTAATCAGAAGAAAGAAGGAAGATTGGAAGAAGAAAGAGTAGAAGATTGGGGACAAAAGTTCTCAGGAAGAGGCATTTGGACAGTCGATTGGGAGTGGTCATGAAGTGTGATGGGCGTTCTAATGCTTATTAATGCCGATTAGAGAACGTCCAATGTAGAAAAGACACTAAACAACCAAGCAGACTCAGCGACTCAGCCAGTGGATGCCAGTCATTCCAGTTGGCACGCTGGGCTCGTGAACAGAGCAGGCTTGGTAGTAGGAATGAAGGCTGTGCCTCAGCCAAACTGCGTGGATTCTCATTTACCATGGCTGATCTAGCAATCGCCTTTACCAAAGTCCAGTCTGCTGACAACAGAAACCAACTCTGAGCCCTCAATATGATATCATCCTTGGAGGAGACCAACCAGCCCCCCTGATGGCAAATGGACTACATAGGGCCCCTTCCACTCTGAGAAAGGCTGCCATTCATATTGACTGATATCTACTCCCTTTGGGATATGAGTTTGCCTCTTCGGCCAGTATGGCTCAGCAAGCACCATAACTGAAGAGCCTGCAGAGTATTTGACGCGTGGGCATGTGAGTCCATATAAGGTAACATCAGGATAAATGACCTACCTCACAGCAGAACAGGTCCAGGATTAGCCTATCCTCATAGGAGCCCTTGGTCCTATCACAAACCACATCTCCCAGGAGCCACCTGTCATTTTAGTAGTAGTACAGCCTCCTGAACAAATATCTGAGGCTTGGAGAGGAGACCTTCGTTTAAAGGCTCATTGGTAAATAATTACCTTTAATTTAGCATGTGAAAGAGTCTTAGTCTTACTGATAATATATATACTGTGTATACCTTCAGTCAAGAACCATACATGGTGCTATGTCCCTGAAGTACAGAACATATTGGTCCTAGAACCAAGCAGTGATGGTAAGGGTAGCCTGTTTAATAGTCACACCAGCAATCCATTTAGAGAATTTGTGTTTCTTTTTCTGACAACTCTAGGCCCTTGTTACCAGAGGAAAAGAGCTTCTACCAGGGAACACAGCAAGAATCCCATTAAAGCTCAAGATTTGACAATTGTTCAGTCCCTTTAATCTTCTTGTGCCATGAGAGTAGCATGCAAGGAAAGAAGTCATCAACTTGGAAAATGATTGTGACTGTCTAGAGGAGGTAAGGATGCTTTTCTGTGGCGACCCATGCTCTTCTATGGATTCAGGTGACCAGTTGGGTACCTCTTGGTATTTCCTTACCCAGTTTTGATAGTAAATGGACAAGTTCAATGGCTAAAGCTTGAAAAAGATATGGTAGCTCTTCGGGAATGAGGGTCTGGGTCCCTCTACCAGGTAAGCCTTTGAGGCTAACAGGGTTATAGGTCGAGGGTGAAGGGAATCTTGAATGGCTGGTGAAGGAGGAATATGAGGAATACCAGGCTGCGACACTCACTCCATTGTTGGTGCCTATAGTTCATCTCATCAACCAGCTTCTTGTAAGCTTCCTCCAGGAACAGAGGGACTGCTCCCAGAACTGATTCTCCGATGCATGTGAAATTGTAAGGCACAAAGCATGGGTTAGAGTGGACTCGGTGTTACTCACCCAGATCATACTCCAGGGCTAAAGAACTGAACTCTCCAGTTCCTGGGAGTGTTTGTGATGAATATCTCTGAGTCCCTCTCTGGGACTTATCCTCAGCTAAAGAGAGCCACCTCACTCAGCGTTACCCTCCTCCCCAGGGATAGCCTGGGACAAGTCCCTACACGGGTATAAAAGGCCTGTCTCCTTGCCATAACTAGAGACAACACTGAAGGGCTATGCCAACTGCAGAGCTCCCCATAGGATCTGCTGAAGTTTTTACTACCTGTTCATCAAAGTCAACTCCTCCTTCAGCTCAATCCTGATTCATGCACTTTTCTAGAGCTGTTAATGCCAAAAGTATTTCCAAATACTCTTGCAAGCTAATCTGCCCCTAGAAGTCTACTTCCTAGGGGACCCAATCTCAAATATCCCTTTTAAAAAATTTCATGTATCAGTTAATAAATCTTGTTATTTTTATGAACGTTTTATGCTTATGTAATTTAAGTGTCTGTGTGTGTGCTTACACACATGCATGTGTGTTTTTTTAAGTCCAAAGGCATTTCTTCCCCTTAGTGGAATGTATCTTTAATTTTATTTCAATGTCACTTGGGAAATAAGATTAATCAGGTAGAAATCAAATTTCTATGAACACTTCCTTAAAGGGCCTGTTGGAAAGAGGTACCCAGAGAGCCATGATCAGCATTGAATCTGGTGGTGACTTTGAGGCCAAGGTTGTGTGAAATGTGAGTCTCTCTCACAATGATAGAAAACTCAGTCCTGACCCTCTAGCTTCAAAATTTCCTGAGCAAACAACTTGGATTATTTGAAAATTACCCTTCAAAGTGGATTGTAGTTCTCTGTAACAGTCAGATTTTACAGCAGTGAAGAAGGAGAAGGGTCCCCTTACCTCTCTGATGTGCTCTGTGATTTGCATACAGGATCTCACAACAACCTAAGGACTTAGGCAAGGCAGGCATTATTATTTTCATTTCCTTAGGATAAAGCTGGGCTGCAGAGAAACTAAGCATATTTCCCAAGTGTACACAGCCAATAAGTGGCACCAAGGCACCTCAGAATTCCAAAATGGTCTGGCCTCCTTTTGACATTTTTAGACACTGCCTCATTAAAAAATGAAAGAAAGGAAAAGCCAAGTCATTGTGAGACAACTGTGCTGTGTTCTGAATATTTACATTTAACACATAAGGTATTTTCCATGCCAAAACCAAAGGACAAACTGAACACCAAACAGTATATAAATTATTTTGGAGATATGGTCATTGTATAACCTCTATGCATATGACACACAAATAATTAGCTGTTTGCATCTCCTTTTATGAATAGCGGTTCTGGTCAAATAGCTTTCCTTTGCTCTGCCCGCCTGCTACCGCTCCATTAAATTCCAAGCCCTGATCCAAGCCCAGTGCACTTTCTGTAACATTCCATGGCATTCTTCTCTGAATTAGACTTGGGTTTTCATTTTTGACCTCTAGTTTTCCTTTTTACATAAGCTTATTTTCTTAAAAGAGGATTTATTTATTATTGGGGTTGTGTTTTCTTTCATCCTATGAAATTCCAGTTTTTTTCTCTACCTTGTAAAAAAAATAAATCCTTCACCTTCCTCTGTCCCTCACCTCCCCCACTATTTCTATGCAAGTACACACGCACTTTCCTATTTTGGGTAGATTTATTCCTTTGAATGGCTTTGGCTATGATGAACTTTACTTAAGACATTAATAATTCTTGACAAGGACTTCTTTTGTGTTTTAGCTTTGAAAGGAAAGCTTACTATGCGTAATTGCCCCATTCTTAACTGTGTTATAGATTGAAAGCAGCAGAAGCTGATAACAAACAGCTTTGCCCCAAATATACAAACTTCATGCCTGCCTGGTCTTCCTGCAGAATCTAGCTTTTACTTATATGTGAAGAAATTTTGAGTAAAATTAAGCTTAGGGATGGATGAGAGAAAAAGGGAAAAAAAATTTAGAATTGGATTTGAATTCTCAGGAATCAAACCCTGTGTTCTTAATACTTTAAGGTAGATAATATTAAATAAATAAGACATTTTAATCAAAAACGAAGTATAAAAACCAAAAAAGTGCAAAAATTACATTTTGCCTTTGTGGGTACTATAAGAGTCAAATAAGGTGAGGGTAAAAATTACTATTTTAATAGGTGTGGAGAATTTCTCCCAAAAGATTATCTTTTTTTAAAAATAACATAATAGAGGTGATTATAAAGATAAGGCCATTTTGAGGTGGGAGAAATGATTCAACGATGGAGTTAATGTTATAAATTCATTAATCAATCAATAAAACAAACCTGTCCAAGAAAGCTGCAAGACTTTTAAAACTGGAGTAGGTAGAATAGAGAAGGAAAGGAAAAATGAAGGGGAGATGAGGGCTGAACAACATGGTTGAAGACTTGAGCAGAAACGTCAGGCAGTGAGTAATTTCAGAAGCAAAAGTGACTGGGGGGTTTTTAAGTGTGGATACCTATGTAGCTGACTGGATTTTCCTACAATGGCTGCAGTAATAACTCTTCCCTCACTTGCTCTTCAGCAAAGTGACTCTGTCACAGTAAAGTGATGCTGTGCCAATCCCAAGGTGACCCTTAGTGGCCTCACAGTGTCTGTTCCCTGTCTCTTGGAAGTGTTGGCCAGGGATGAGGGAGGAGGAGAAAGAAGTCAGGACAGAAAGGAATGGTATCAGTTCATAAACATAGAATTAGCTGATTTTATCATTGAGCAAAACAAACATTCCAAATGCATATAGGCCACCAGCACAGTTCCTATGTAATAATTTATTGAATTGTAGAGCTCAAAAACATCAACTCTGTGTCAAACAACTGTTACAATATTTTATTTACTTAAAACGTCTTTTAGGCTTTCATCATTTTCTATGAATATGCACAAATCCTTAGCTTAGTGGTGATCCCTTAAGTCCTTACTTTCTGACAACACTTTAACAGGAACCTTTGTTAAGGTTAGGGGATTCATAAAGAGGGACATGATCTGAGGGAAACAAAAAAATCACTGAGAAGATGACTACAAAGTTCTAAGAATACACGTCTAATTTAGATTCCTTGGAACTGAATGACATAATACTAAAACACTCTGGGACATGAGTAGGTGTCAACAAATGTTAATTCATTCTGTTTCTAAAATCTTCCCTGTTCACATATCAGATCAGTGATAGAAGCAAAGACTGAGTTAGTAAGTCAATAAGTATCTCCAGTCTCTCACATAAATAATGAAAGTATCTGTCAATGTGCTTCACTTATCTTCTGAAATAGCAACATCTCAGGGAACGAGATTTATCTATTTCATCTTTGAACTTCCTACAGAGCATGGTGCCCAGTACATAGTAAGTGCTCAGGAACTGTTTGTTCAGTTAACCCAAACTTGGATTCTCAACCACTAAAGTGTGATTTTGAAGTGGTGGTATGGAGCAGGAGAGAGATCACTGTTTCTGTAAATGAGATGTGAGGGGAAGCTGGGGGTGAATCCATGCACAAGTAGAAGCAGAACTAGGAAGGAGGTTCCCACCTGCTGTTCCATTTATTTTGGTGGTTCAACTAGTCTAGATTTAACATATTGTCATAACATGGACATTAAGCTAGAATCTTTTTTTGTTGCTGAGATAAAAATCTTCTGCCCCAACATGTATTTCAAAAAGTGCCGTCATTTTGAATGAATGCCACTGTGTAATAAAATCAGTGTTTGAAAATCTCTGCCAGTTGCTGAGAGGGGATTGGCTTTATTTGGGCATTCACCTTAATGGTCACATTTTTTCCCTTTCCCTTTTCCTTTTTTAGAATTTCATTTTTATCTGTCTTCTTTTCTTTTTTTCTTTTTCTTTTTTTGTGGATGGTGGTGAGGTGTATATATTCTTACATTTCTCTTAGATAAAGTATCAATTTCAACCTGTTACATGTTTCTACTTAATTTAGCAAACATAAGCTTCCTGGGTAATTGCCTCTGAAATTGCTGACTCATTTTCATAGCTTTGAGTTAATGTATTTTAAAAGTAGTTTAAAAATCTTTTTTTAAATTAAGACATATGACATACATCAAGTACACAAAATATACTTAACAGATGTGTTTAACTCTTAGATATAAAATGAGTACCAATACAGTAATCACCAAAGTTAAGGAACAGTGTAGTATCAATACCCCGAATCCAACACTCCCTCCCTAGGCATTTCTTCCTAACATCACTCTCTTCCTCTTCCATCTCAAACTTCCACACTTGTATTCATTTTCTAATGCTGATATCAAATTACCACAAGCATAGCAGCTCAAAACAATGTAAACTTATTATCTCACAGTTTCGGAGTTGGGAGTCTGGGCATGGGATAGCTGTATCCTCTGCTTAGGGCCTCACAAGACTGAAATCAAGGTGTCAGCTGAACTGCATCCCTTTCTGATGGTAAAGTTTCCCTTTCAAGCTTATGTGATTGCAGGCAGAATTCAGTTTCTTGCAGTTGTAGGACAGAGGCATCCATCCTACTGAGGATCACATGAATGTGATGAGTGACTTTCCTCTCGCTGCTTTCAATATTCTCCATTTGGCTTTGTCTTCTGTTTGATAGTAACGTGT